AGGGAGATGAACTAGGACCATTCAAAATTGATGACAGTGAAATAGGAATCATGTCTGAAGTAAAGTATCTTGAAATAATAACTTCTTCTGACCAATCCTGGTCTTCCCATGTCTTAGCGATTTCTAAAAGAATATTTCGTCTAACTTTTTACATTAAGAAGTTAAGGCACTCAGGCATAACCCAATCTCTCCTCTTACAGTTTGTCAACTCGTGCATCTTACTTATTCTTCTTTACTGCTCACTCTTATTCCTTCCTGAATTGCTTAAATAGAATATGTCATACTTCGTGGAACTCTGAAGACTGTAAGTATTGCGAGTGCTATCCCATTGGGCCATATCGTTGACATGGTCATTGACAGGCATTTGATTTCATGCGGCAAATTTTCTAAGGAAGTTTTGTCAGACTGTGAGCATCCACAGCAGCACTCGCAGCTCCAAACTTGTGTCTCTTCAAGTAAACAAGAAGTCTTTTCAGAAGAATTTGTGCACGAAGGTCTAATTATAAAGTTCCACTATACCATATTTGGCACGTACTTTATGTGATGAAAATCGTATTAGGCATGAACTAACAAATAAGCCATTTCCCGCACCCTTACAACATCAACCTTTACTGTTATTCTTATTCTTATATTTATAATCCTCTCAATTTTGTGTTTTTATTTGTTTATTTCTTTATAAGTGTGAACATCATTTAAGCTGTGTTATAACTGTTGGTTTTGTATTTCCCCTGACCATACTGTATCAACAGCACGTTACATTCAATACTCGATAACATGCTAAAATTTCCCAAATGAATTGACAATACTGTTTGAAACAAACTCACTGTTATTACTATTATTATATTCAATGTTCTCTAATTGGACTTCGAATATTTTTGACGTCATTTCGTATATGTGGACAAATTCTTCAGGTTCATATTGTTTTAATTTTCAATTTTTTTATAATTTGAGTAAATCACATACAATACTGTGAGAAATACTAAGAATTCCATTCTGTATTGTAAGTACTGTTTTTGGAATAAAGCACATTATTATTATCCTGTGTCACATACATACAAGGAATCACATGAAAAATCCATACTTAATACGATAATTGCGACAAAAGTTATTTCATGTCAAATGGTATCAATTTGAGAATCAGAATGGACTTTGGTTATTTAATATACAAAATTGCGCCAATAATGAATCAAAGAATCGAAGTATATATGAAAAAATAGTTGTGAATATTCTCGAACGCACGAGAATTTTCAGCTAAGAGCTAGGTGAATTTCAGTAATACATAACTTGTTTGTTGCAAACATAAGAAGGAGTACTCATGTGATGATTTTCATTCTGACTTTGATCATATCCAGTGTACTTTAATCGATAAACGCATATCAAAAATGAATATTTTAGTTCAGTAGTTAATGAAATTAGTTATTTTGAAAAAAAGATGGTTTGCGTTCGTATTACGGGATACGAATATCAGTGTGAATGTCTGCGCAAGTAATGGCACACTTCATATGAGAAACAGAAACAATGCTTAACATATCGTCATCAATGGGAACAAGAAATCACAAAAATGAGAATAAAACTGAAGATGACTACAGAGTGACATCGTCATATTTAACTGTCTACCAAAAAAGATAGGTTGGAAGAAGAATTTTACAATTTAGGCATTTTTGTTGCTTCTTTGAAGAAGAATGCTAAAGTACTTTCGAGAATGCCGTACATGCTGATCGTACCAAGCCAGATGATGAAAGCTGTGGTGAATTCCACAGCAATGAAATCCATCCACCAAGTGATCACGCCATAATTATCGACACAAATGAACAACAACTACAAAGTAGAGAAAGAGAAAGATTATTGACAGAGATGAGTGAATAAAGGCGATCATCTCAACTGTACATCAATTCATATTTCACCGTAGTAAATTAATTATAATAATCTAGCCAATGTGATAGGATTGTTTTCATATGATGAAATATAGACACCTGAATCAATAAAGAATTCTCTACACATTCACTGTGGGCTTTCAGATCATACATCAGCAGATGTCTGCGTATTGTCAAAATCGTAGAGAGTATTCGGCTCACACCTTGAAGATGATTCCGGTTCCAGAATGACAAGTCGATTGTGCGATTATTCATTTTATGATTTGACTGCACTGCCTGAAAACTAGAATGACTTAGTCTGTATCAGTTGAAAATATTATGACCTCATCATCCATCGTTGAGGATGAATACGATGAATTCTAATGGAGTTCTTTCTTGACAAATGGAATCATAATCTGAATTTCGGAGCTGGTATTCTCTGTCTTACTGTTGGATGGAAAATATCAACGGACGAGTCAATAGAGATGGCCAAAACGCGTCCGTCAACATGTGAATATCACTTCAGTTCAAAATCTGCTTCATCTGATTTCTCACCAGTCTGTTTTAGATGTCTTTTCATTCAACTGTGTGAATGAAGTAGACTGTCGGTTGTCTTACTCTGCATCATGTTGAGTCAATTTATCGAGACCACAGTTTGATCATTCCTTCGAAATGCTTCCCGGTATACAGGAAGTTTATTTTAGATGTTTATTTACTGAATTGTCTGAATGAAGGAGATCGTCAAAATTCTTATCGTGTGTCATGTAGAATCAACTACTCGTGAGGTCCAGTTCATTGATTCTTTCAAGATGTCCCTCAGTATACCCTTCCTGTTAACGGAACAGGTGGATTTACGTTTCCACATTTACGAGTTTCTAAGAGACAACTTGTCTCAGCTTTCGTGTCCTCTCTCATGCGCAAGTAGTAAAACCACGCAGTCATTGTTACATCGCCAATAAGTGAAACAACGAAAATAATGTGTGATGTGAATCACAGAGATGGTCACTTTGACGAGGTATTTGTGGGTGTAGACGCCTTCAAATTAAACCACAAATGACATCCATTCAGTCAATAACAAGTTAGCCTACATTCTCAAAATTTCTTGTGTGGCTTTTAATATGACACTGACTACAATTGAAAGCATGACACAGACACCAACTCGTCGTGATCGAATTTTCGACACGAATGCGAATAGAAGGAACGGAAGCAAAACGACTTCTCTGAAATGAATTCACAAACAGCAACAATTCGTTTCATGATTCCGAGTTTACTTCTTATACAGCAAAAACTACTTCTATTTCCATGAGATTATCAAAGCTATTTGTCACCCGTCATCTCCTTGAAACACAGACGATAGTAAATTTCAAGTCATTAGGTAATAATCTCCCTACTCGCTATCTCTAACTCTCGGTCACTCTTTCCAACCAAATAATGCTAATATTGGATATTCCGATTGATCCATGAAAGTGCAATTGTCCCACTTCTGAAAATGAAATCACCCAAACGATATCTCTGCTTAGCCTCAAGCTTCTCCTTTCCAATTTCATCACGAAGTAATCAGATTATGACAAGTCCATGAGACAGAGGAATTCGATTCAAAGTTGTTTTCATAGTTTTGTTGGGATCATTCAATAAACCAGATACACTGTTAACCCACACTATGTGCTCGGAATGAAATAATTACTATAAGTCACTGTCGGCCATTTGAGTGTTTGAGAAATTCGAGAATATCTACGGTTGTTTTCACCGTATTATTCATTTTAATCAATTAAGCCAGACAAAATAAGACACCTACTGGATTCAACTCAGATGATGTTTTCTGTGAATCTGATAACGGCTTCGCAATTAAATGAACAAGCTCAAGGAAGAGAATTACGTGGAGAAGCCTCTAAATGAACCAGGAATCAACTCCATCATTTTGACACAAATTGCTTCTTCCATTCAACATAAGCGTCGTTCTTCGGTCAATAGCCTTCTCAAATGAAGTAATTAGTATATGCCTCCTTACTGAATTCTCAGATAACGAAATGTGCTTACTGTTACCCTGTGCTACATACATACTTGCATACAAACAACCACATGAGAACAACATGCATAATAAGACGATTTTGTGAAAAAAATCATTTTGTGTGAAGTGGAATCACATTTAGAGTGAGAATGGACTATGATCCTTCAATATGTAAAAATGCGTCAATAATCATCAAAGAAGTCGGAATATATACAAGTATATATACAAATGAGAAAATACGTGAGAATATTCTCGAACGCATAAAAATTCGAAGCTCGGAGGTACAAGAAGTAAGTGAATTCCAGTTATATGTCATCTCTCATTTGCTGTCTGTTTGTTTGATTTATTACTTAGTTTGCTCAAATATGAATAGTAAGGTGACGATTTTAGTCTGACTTTGATCATGTTTGAGGTATTTCACTTGAGTGTGAATATAGGAAGAACGCTCAATCAAATTAAACTGGGTTTTATGGATCTGATCAATGTAGAATGTGAGGGTGTGATGACTAGATGTCTAATGTACTCAGAATTCTGTGAGGTGTGATAGAGCAAACTGATGTTCGCATTTATCCTCCCCAGTCTTGTAGCAAGGTGTAATCGTCTGATACTTGTATGCATATATTGACTCTGTAAATACGCCCAAAAGAGACCAGTTTTTCTCTGATGATGCAGAAGAGGAACTCCAGTAGGCTGTTTCCTAAAAGTTGATTACGTGTATAAGAAACACAAATGAGATTTTCTCCAACCCACTCAATTTCGTAGAGCACACTCTTCCATACAATCACTGACTCCAACTCATCAACATTCGCAAACAGGTGTATTTCTCAAGTGTTACGGAACCTGAATTATGTTCAAATAATCTGACAGTCATATCCACACCATATTCTCCGTTGGCATATTTGGAAAGTCTAATCTATATGTCCATTTTCATCATGTATATTCTGAGGTGATTAAGTTACTTCTGCGTCGTTGTCGTCTATCATTTTCTTCGTCAATTTCAGCTCACTGGAAAATGCCACGGTTTTATGCATCGTATGGGAATTCTGATTATACCACCGAGAGTTTACAGCGAATCCCTTTTCCTGACAACATTTGGGTAAGATGAAAATGGATTGATGAGTGAGTAATTTTATTCTTAGATCACAATATATACAGTTATTATGATAATGGTGACAGCTATTGTTGTCCTCTTATTCACTTTCGTGTAAGAACAGATAAAATTTTCCAATGAAATATTCCCTTGGTTGTAGGGAGGTGATTTGGAAATTCTTCAAAGAGAATTCTTGGGTATATTTTATTATTATGTAAGTTCTCTGTTCAACATTATTCATCGAATGTTCGATTGAATTCATCACACCTTGACAAGTGGAATTCATTTGTGATACAGAGCAGTAATCCACTTCACAGCACACTCGAGAACTAAATTAGTATTTGCTGTATTGTCAAGAATTGAGAGTCTTAATTTATTTAGGCCTTCAGTTTTGGGAGAGTCTGGTGTTCGTCTCTATTCAAATTACTGATTTCACATTTTGCTCCAAGGATATCAAAACAGTTGGTTCATAAAATAATCACTGGAATGAATTTTCCAGAGTAGAGTATTTGTAGAAACACGATCACAGAAAATCTGTAACACAGGAGTCTTCAACAATGGTGGACATCAGAATAATTAATGTGGTACAATAAGAATCACACTAAAATTTCGGAATGAAAATTATTCATATGGTGACATGTTGCAAACCATTTGTCAAGGTTTTTTCGATAATTTCGCTGAAACTTCTGATCAGCTCATATTTTAACGTAAGAAAAAGTCATATTTGTAAAAATAATTATTGATACACAATTCAAACCTCTCGCTCGACAGATTGGAAATGATGGAAGGTAAATCGTCTAAGGTATAAATAATAGTGTGCATTTGGGTTATCATATCTTTGACAAAATCAACACAAGCAATTCAGTGAAGAGTCATTTTTCAATGAATTGCTCTGCTTTGCTTGAACAGCCGCATTAAGAAAGATCCATCAGTAGGTTACCCACAGGGAACGACTAAACTTAAACTTTAACAAATGGAAGAATCGTCACAAGATGGTCGGTTATATTAATGAGTGCAAATAAGAAGTTGAATAAGGTCGACAGAAATACCTATTGAGATAAGAAAAGTTACTATGTAAATTTTGATATCCATGTACATGGAAACAAAGGAAGTACTATGTTCCATTCACGGCCAACGACATCTTTCACAGACGAAAATATGGGATTTCAATGAGATCTCACATGGGTTCGTTGCTAGCAGCCTGTTTCATGACAAGTCACAGGAATGGTCCACGTAAGTTAAATATTGATAGGTTTCCATTGTGTCCTAGATAAGTGGATGACATTTTTATTATCCCTGATGATAGTCATGATCACAATTAGTAGTGTTACACACGTTCAACAGCTGTAATCCACCGACAGGGCTCACTGTTTCAGTAGATGAATCTCCACTGCCTTTTCATGAGGTTGAATTTACACGAAGAGCCTACGGGTCTTGAGGAAGATAGATCAATAAGAGAACCACATTGAGCGGCCAACTGATAAGTTTCTACAGCTGAATACCAAATGAACGTGAATTGAGGCAAAGTATTTCTCTACCCACTCGCGTCACACTCATCTGTAGCTCAAATGCTCTGCAAGATGAATTAGACTTTTCAGAAAAAAATCTCTCAAAATGGACATACATCGAGTCTTATTGTCGAGAATGTCAAGCCATGCAAGAAGTGAACGTTTTAGATGAACTTTGACTTTGTCGGTAGCCTAATTGGTGAAGTTCTTAGGAGAGGAATTTCGGTTTCAGCAGGGAGAACTTTTTTCACAGAAACGCTAAGAGTGGTGTTCGTCAGTTAGCTACTGGTGTGGAGGAGCCTTATGGACAAGATCTCACATCTGACCACTTCTACTTGCATACTTCAGTTCACCTGTTCTTGCGGAGCCAAATATATGCATCGTTCAATGCGAATCCTATTGTTTTCAGTTAAATATGTTTGATTACTTCATTCACTTGACCGTTTCTGACTCACTTCTCCTCCAGAACTCCTAGATAAAATGAAATTCTCTTTGTTTTTCTATATGCATCCTGAATAAAATAACCTGTTAAATTATATATCCCACCTTTTCATAAAGCTGACCTGCTGAAATCGATGGTCTACCAGAGTTTCCATCCACTGAAATGCCAAATTGCTACAGCATTTCTGATTGCTGTGACCATGCAATTGTATCAGATGATCACTACGTGTACTCGCCCACATAGTGAGTTAGTTTTCAACGGAAGGATGCTCATTTCACTGAGGAAATGAATGAACAAAAATGTACACAGTTGGTGTTCTCTTCCAATGGAACAACGCTATATCACACGACATACTTCAGATTATCACTTTACATGTAAATCCTGTGGGAAGATAAAATATTTTGGAACACCGAAAACTTCTGCACTCTGTTTTTCATATTGTCTGAAATATAGACTTGTTATTATTGTATAATTCTATCTATTATATTCAACTTCTCATTTGCATTGAATACTAATAGCAACTGTGGATGTGTGTTGTGATTCTTCCCTTTGTCACTGTTCAGAACCTTGCTGAATTCTATTGTGCAGCTTAAGAAAGTCAATTCATCGAGAAGAGACTCTCCACTGAACTGCTTGCACTGATTTTGTCAGCGATATTAGAGTCCAGATGCACCCTTTTATTTATAGTTTAGACGATTTATCTTCCACTATTTCCAATCTGTCGAGTGAGATGTTGGAATTGTTTGTCCATTTTTATTTCTGCAAAAATGACTTTTTCTTACTTTGAGATATCAGCTGATCAGAAGTTTTAGAGAAATTATCGAATAAAATCTTGACAAATGGTTTGGATCATGTCACCATATGAATATTATTCATGGCGAAAATTTAGTTGGATTCTTGACACATGGTATTGATTATTGTGATGTCCATGACTACTGAAGACATCTGTGTTACTAATATTCTGTGAAACGCTTTCCAGAAATAGTGTACGCAATAAATGTCTTCTCAGTGTCTATATATTTGATCATTTGCTTTGATCTTAGTGAATCGTTGTCTCATCTTGATAACCACATCTGATTGTGTTCAGACATGCACTGGGAAGTTTTCTATTTTTTTGACGGTCAGTAGAACTAGTCACACAGGACCAAGTTTATATATAAACAAACATGGAGGAGGCCTGAGTTGTTAGTTTACACTTTCCACATCCGTCGGTCTACTAACAACTGGACAGTGGATCAACCTTAGTCAGTTTACAACCAATTTCAACTCTCTGTGGCTTACTTCGACTCCAGGTAATAGATGTTCAGCCAAGTGAATTCGGGTCTTAACTTCAGTCACTTTGGTGATAAAGAGATTCGCCGAATAATAATGACAATCATAATTAGGCCATCTGTCCAAATGCGAAGCATTCCAAGGATATTAAGTTTTCGTCTATCATCTGGTTGTCGTCCGACAAACCAGTTAAGATACATCAAATGATGCGAAAAGTGTTCCACATATTTGCAGAGCTCAACACTATTGGGTATGTTGTTCATCAGGCGAAGATTTTCATCTAGGACTCTACATTTAATGATTTCCAAAGGTGTTATCTACGTATCTCGGACGATCAGAGCATCTCACAATTGCAGCTGTTTTGAATGAGTGGATGCACAGATTGGTCAGTGAGGGAGATACTGGTTGGTCCATAATAATACCATCTGTTTCACGTGGGAATATCTCCTCTATTTTTGAACACTGTTTGATCTGAACACACTTCTAGTGAATTCATAATTTCTCCTGTGCCGGAAAAACCATCGACCGCATAGCCCACTGTCTGAAAATGGTGAATGACGAAGACTTGGAAATATTTCATCTCATTCAACAAAAATTGATGCAGTTCTGCTGTCAGATTCACACATATTCTGTACTCAATATACGGCTTGCATTTCATATAAATTCGGTATTCAAGGAGTGTATGTTAAGGGGTTGTGTCTTAGAGAATTAGTAGGTTATGAAGATAGACGTTATGGATGATCTGGTTTGTAAATATTTTGAAATTCATAAAATCCCCTCAGATGGAAATATTTTGGTGCAGGTTATCTCTGCAGTGACACTTCGATTTCTTCGTTTAACAACTTGGACATTTTGCTTGTTTCAGCTTTTACTCCTTGCAAACTGGCCCTTCCCTCTGTCTGGTCGTCGATTTCACAGAGTTCAGTGCTACGTCTTTCCGTGAATATTTTCGCTTCCTGATGAGGTTGAAATAATTTATCTGAGTTCTGTTGTGTTTTCGGAGACTAATATCCAGTCAAATATTCATCATAGTTTGTATAGAATACTAAACAATTCAGTTGCAATTTTGTCATTTGTGTTACTCCTTCCTCATAAGAACAACATCCCTTCTACTGATCATAAAATATTTTCGATTCTACAACATCCCCACCTAAAGTCACTTTGTCTAATCTTCAGTTAAATTATCCTCATTTCAAGGGCTCCTGATAAAGGGAAAGTTTCAAATACAGCAGTCTCCTCTGACTTGCTTTCATTTTCCCATGTCATTTGTGAACCAAATGCGACGAGTTGTTTTCACTCATTTGTCGACTCAGGAAAGAGATTGAGCCAAGTACCGTAGCATTTATGTTTTCCGTTGCTTAGAAAACGGTGAGGTTTACTACATCATCAAATCAGAGATTTCCGCCTACAATGAAAAAGAACGAGTGATTTCATGAAGCACCGTGCGAAGGAAGCGTCTGACGTCGCAACTGAAGAATGGCATCCACATACAAAGATCGTCACACTGAAAACCATTTCTGTTGTAAATGCAACTCATGAATATTCGATTATTATGAACTGTGATGCACTAACCAAATAACGCACAATTCCGATTAACTATGTAATATCTGAAACGAATTGTTGATGTTTGTGAATTCATTTCAGAGGAGTCGGTCTCCTTGTGTTACTTCTCTTCGTATTCGTGTCGAGAATTCGATCACGACCAATTGGTGTCTATGTCGTGTTTTCAATTGTAGTAAGTGTCATTTTTGTAACCCTGCAAAAAATTGTGGGGATTTAGACTAACTTGTTTTTAACTGAATGGATGTCGTTTGTGGTGCAATTTGAAAGTGTCTTCACCCACTACTACCTTGTCAAAGTGATCATCCTTGTGATTCACATTACACACCACT